TAGTTATTAATATTAGGCATAGTAATCGGCAGGTTCTCGATTACAAGGCTAGACCAAGTTAATTACATGTAATGCCGAAATGATAGTAATAATAATAATAATTATTATAAATACCTGTACGTTAAGGGGAACTTAGACAAAGGGGAAATAACACAAAAGATATTCCCCTTGGGCTAGTTATTATTTATAGGCCTTGAAATAGTATCTGTAGGTTCTTCATTACAAGTAGGCCAAGGTAATTAAGGATGAAATGATTATTATTAATTAATTAATTATTATTATTACCTGTACCTTAAGGGGAACTTAGACAATGGAGGAATTAGAGGACAATTAAAAAAACGACGTTAAGGGGAAATAACACAAAAGATATTCCTCTTGGGCGATTATTTATAGGCCTAGTAAATATAGTACAGTATCTGTAGGTTCTTCATTACAAGGCTTAGGCCAAAGGTAATTAATGCTGAAATTATTATTATTATTATTTAACATTAATTACATTACAATGATAGTTTGGACAAGTTAATAACGCCGGAATGGTATATTATTTATTTAATATTTCTCTTATGCGCTCTATTTTTCATTTCATGCTTCAATTGTCCCATTTTCCCCCCAAAATTTCAGTCCATGTCAGTATGTGAAGCGTGAATCGCTTCCCGTTCCCGTTCACCCTGAAACTATAATTTCCCTTGATTATTGAATCATGAATTAACGCAGTCAGACCGGCTTAGCGCCACCTAGCGGTGTATCTCTCGTCGTTTTTATTTAGCAACTATAGAGGGCACATGTGCATTTTTAGTCTTCCATCTGCGGTGCGGCGTACGCGCGAATTATAAATGAAATAAATAAAAATAAAGGTCTAGGTCTAGCCTAGAGTAGTAGGAGGTCTAAAATGTGTTTTTGTTTTCTATAGGCCTCGGCCCAAGTCTAACAAATGAAACCTTCTTCATGACAAGTATTTAAAGGTAAGGTTACTTAAACATCTAGCCTAGGCTAGGGTCCTATGTGATTATTAATAGAGGATAAACTAAACCTAGGCTAGGCCTAGATAAAAATCATGGTAATAATAATAATATCTAGGCCTAGCCTCTAGGAGGCTAGGACTAGGTGGCTACTAGGCCAAACCTAGGCCTATACTAACTAAGAGGCTATACCTGGTGCCTAGGTCCTAAGCCTGGTGGGCTGGATTTGGTCTAGTAGGCCTTCCACCGCGCCTCCACTTGACTTATCATGCCCATATTTATATAGATAGGAGCAAATCTCTGATGATTTCATATATAATATAATATAAAACTTGATTTAGGGCCTAGGGTATTTTCTAATCATTTTGTTGTGTGTTTATTCCAGATTTAAATCTGACAATAATTTTAATTTATTTCAATTTCTGATCTTATCAATTCATTCATTTATAAATATAGGCCTGAACCCCTTTCAATGTTTACATTGGCCTGGCTAAAACACTGGCGGTGTTGCCCGATGGAGGCAGACAGCAACATATACAGTACAGTAGTACAGAAATTCAGCTTAATGTTTAACTTAAGCAACTATAATGTTTACCAAACGTTGCTGTAATGGTTACTTTGCTGAGTAATTGTTAAAATTCAATTAAAAAAAAAGATGCATAATAATGTTTATGAAAGTTGAGTGGCTTTACCAAAGAACTTAAATAGCAAAAGAATGAGCTGTTGCATTAAAATTGATTAAACATCCGCCCTCCCGCGAGCGGGGTAAAATTTGACTTATTTAAGAAACCACAGGAAATAAACCAACTAGAGCGGCGCCTTTATTATTGAAATATAGGGCTGCCGTGCAGACGGGGTAAAGTTGCTCTCCCTGTACTCACACTGCATTTCAAACGGATGTTGCACTACTGTAATCGGGAAGCTGCTCTATTTTCTGCTATTTATTAACTTTGGCTTCACCGAGTGGTAAACAGAAAATTCATAGGCCTATTTGAGGCCCTTCATACTGGCGAAAACAACATTGTATGCAGATTGCTTTAACTATATATATATATATATATATATCCCTCTTCATTGTTAAGGTTTTCCCCCATTGAAGCTGAAAGCTTTTAGCTGTTTTATAATTTGGATTGCTCTCCCACCTCCTACCATATTTTTACATACCATTTTACGAACCACCAGCTCGGCGATTCGACATCATATACAGCCATGTGCGTTTTCACAGCCTTACTGTTTGTTGCACAGCAGCAGGGCCATATGACATTTAAACGTATCTTGAAAATAATTATTGAAACCAACATTGATTGAATGCTGTAGAAAATGTAGAAATTCTAGTACCATTTTGTTCTTGTGTTATCCAAAGCAAGCTAACCGTTGTAAGTTAATTAGGACTAGCCTAGCTAGTATTTGTAGAGAGAGACAGTTCAGGATCCAAATTTTTGACTTTCCACATCCGAATACATGGTATAATATGTAAGTGACATACTGATATTTTAATTAAATGTTACACACATTTTTACCGACCAGATCTATTTGCCATCCTTTTGTGTATTTTAGGATGATATCATTTTATTTGTGGGTTACTGGAGTTTGATTCAAAATATCTTTTTTATTCTAAAAATCAAACAGGATGGAATTGAGAGAAATGGTTGCATTTGCATTGGCTATCAAGAATTACTCCAGGATGAGGCAGTCAAAAATGGCCTTCCTGACCTGGGCATCGAACTCCGTGACATGCCTGAAAAAATTATCAGCTGCCTTGGTCTAGCTATTCACCAGGTAGCTTTGTTGTAACACTAAATTGATAAAATTTCTCTATTCTTTGTTTCACCTGAAAGTGTGAAACAAATTTTGAAAAGTATAAAAATGTGTTATGGTAATAATTTCTTATATTAAAGAATTAAATGTAATAGCACTCTTCGATTAACAAAAGTCAATACAAGGCTGAAATTCACACTCGCAACTCATGCCTGTGAATTTTGCATAAATTTTTTTAATAGGTGATGAATTTTTTTCTTTTTTTTATAAAAATAAAAGTTGGAGACATATTAGTCAGTAACATGAAATACAAATGAAATACATACAGTAACACCTTTTTCAGAGTAACAAAATTTATTAAAGCACAAGCTTGAGTTAGCTTCATCACCTTGTATTTCGATAAATTTTGTTAGACTGAAGAAAGTGCTACTGTATTTATATTTTTTATGAAATCAAAACATTCATTCACCATTTGCAGGTTTTGACTGAAGATCTTGAAGGGCAAGCCGCTGTTCTCCAACACCAGTCCAACACAGATGGAGATATTGAGGGCAGTGTTTTAAAACCGCCTTCAATAATTGTTAGCCTGCCAATTATTCATGCAAGGTATGCATTTTTATTAAGATTATTAAGTAATAATATATGGTAAATATTTTTTTTATAAACTAGAGCAGTCACTCCATTGATTGCATTAATCAACTCGGTGCCTGAATACAGTACCAACAATATGCAGGCCGTGTATGATGGGGTAAAACAGCAGCATATCCTCAATGAAATAATGGAACGGTCCATCGTTCCCAGCCATGAGGTTGGGTTGCAATCCCTGGCTGTGCATTCCACTTGTGTCCTTGAGCAAGGCACTTATATCTACATTGCTTCTCTTCACCAAGGAGTATAAATGGGTTCCTGGTGGGGTTGTCTGCTTCTGCGCTGGGTAGGGTGCGCTAATTTGCCAAAAATAATTTTTTTTTTCCTTCAATATTGGCAGGTGGTGGGTTGGCTAAACAAGGTATAAAAAAACATAATATATTGTATTTTGTATGAATTTATGTTTCAGAATATTACATTATGAACCTGTTACTCAGCTTAAGAACATAAAAGCTAGTTATTGCGGTGAGTCGTCATTTGCAAAACCTCAAACTTCCTCTCCTCCAACCCCCTCCAATCTCTATTCATCCTCAAACTCAAGTTTCTTCTTCAAATTCCTACACTCCATTAAATTATTTTTTAACTCCTACACATCTTTCGTCATTAATAATATCATGAAGGTCATAGATCTTAGGAGATAGATAGATGATAGATCTGATTGTTGGAAAAAAAAAGTTATTGCTTGCATAGTGGAAAAGCCATACAGTAATGTAATGTTCATTGATTTTGTTTAATTTGCTCACAGGTCGATTTTCTGCTGTTAAGGGCACAGTTGTTCGAGTTGGTAATATTAAACCGATATGCACTCGAATGGCATTCCAGTGTAACCATTGCGGAGATGTCCAGGTTTTGACTTTGCCAGATGGACGGTACACTTTGCCTACAAAGGTTATTTTTCTTAGTGAATTATTCACAACATGGGGGTGGTGATGAAATAATGATTTCATTGATCATGACAACAATGATTATGATGATAATGATAGGCATGAATGCAGTACTGTACTGTACAATTCATTATTTCCACAAGAAAATACAAAATTATGAACCAACAAAGTTGAAAAGGGACCCCACCCCTAGTATTGAATCTAATTACAGTCAAAGTGGATGGTAATGATAGTAAATGATGATAATGATTATGTGATTTATTTATTTTTATTTATTTACATCATCCTTCCAGCTCAAAGGCAAGCCAGTGAGCTGAGCAATTTAGGGGCCTTCGGCAGTGATGACAATAATTATTATGTTACGATGCTAGGCTATGGCAACTGTAATAATACGATAATGTTAGCAATAATGATGATGTTGATAATAGTAGTCATAACAATAATGAAGACTAACACATTGAAATTAATTAAACAACAGTAGTTTGGTGACAATGGTATGATTAAAGTATTTTCAATTTCATAGGAGTGATATTTTGCCCTACCTGATGTGTTATCCCACTGAATACTCATTACATACTCAAATATTTGTGAAAAAATCTTGCAAGTGTACGATGATAACATTTTAGGTAGGGCAAAACATCACCCCTATGAAATTTCATTATACTGTATTTTCAATTTGTTTTGCTAGTGCTTGGTCACAGAATGTAAGGGACGTTCCTTCACCCCAAAAAGGAGTTCACCTTTGACAGAGACGGTGGACTGGCAGATGATCAAAGTTCAAGAGATGATGACAGATGACAGACGAGAAGCAGGCCGGATACCGAGGACCATTGAATGTGAACTAGTTAATGATTTAGGTACCGGTAATCTTACTTTATGTACCAGATTTATATACACAAACTGTATTTAGATACTAATCTCATGAAAATATCTTTTTACTTCAGTGGACAGCTGTATTCCTGGTGACAACGTAACAATAAATGGGGTGATCAAAGTGTCAGATGCTGTTGAACGTAAGTCATCCAATAAGCCATCTTGTTATTAATTTGAAGTTTGCATGACAATGTCAAAGTTCAGGGCGTATAGGAAACCATAGCATAAACTACATTGTGTATAATATTTATATAGCATTGCTACTTAACAGATATAGGATAGTTTACTACCATTATTGGTCTTCTGAATACTATAATAAGTGTTATAGCTAGGACCACTTGTGTCCAGCTAATACCTCATGGATTCCTGGACCCCTTGTAGCTAAATACTTTTAGCTGTTTTATAGTGATTTAAAGGGCTCCCATATTTTCCCTATTCAACTTACTTTCGATAGGTAAATGGCCAAAATCAGTTTGGTACTCCTATTAGGCTCTGTCCACACCCACTGACAAAAAAAACTGTTGTATGCCCATACATAGTCATGATGTGCCTATATATGGTCATGAAGTGATGTCATCATGACCATATTTAGGCATGTTACATGTTTTTGTCAAATAAAATTTGAGTCTGGACAGGACGTACCAAATAATACCATTGAATGAAGAGTTTAAAATGAGTGTTTTTATGTTGTGAATTTCTAATGCGAGAGACATTTCAATGATGTTGTATGCCCAAATATATTCATGATGTGATGTCATCATGACCATATTTAGACATGTTTAAAAGTTTTTATAACTCTCACATATTTTAACATGATTCTCATGGTTCTAGGGACTGGGAGGCACAGCAAAGACAAATGTATGTTTCTGTTGTACCTCCATGCTAACAGTGTAACAAATACCAAAAGTACTAAGAAGTCATTAGCAGGTGTCACAGCATCAAGCAGCTCCAGCTCAGACTTCACCATCAAAGAGCTGTATGCCATCCAAGAGATCCAAGCGCAGGATGATCTCTTCAAGCTAATTGTTGGGTAAGTAGATGATTGGCTAGCTACACTGTGCTGTAGAATTGAACAATTCCTCATTTCTTCCACCATTTAGAAAAGTGATTGTTAACCGATTGATAATCAAGATAATGATATTCAACCGGAAGTTCTAGATGTCTCTTAGCTAAGACTGCATGGTCGGCGGAACCAGGAGCCCTCACTTTTTGGCAGAAAATATATAATGTCTATGGAGATTTTTGTATGATGGGAAAAAAATACAAGGAAAGAGAGAAGGAGGAGAGGGAGGGGAAAGAGAATTTTATCCAGTCCCTGACAGAGCAATTATTGTAATACACTCATATACAGTCGTTTGGTTGTCTGTTTGTAATTTTTAATATATATTTTTATCTGAATAAAGGATAAAGGCCTTGAAAACAATATTAGAAGTAGGGAAAGCTCATTTCCTGCCATTTAGAAATCAACATTTTCCCCGAGAGAACTCGAACCCGCATTTCTCGTTGGGGTTCATTGATTCTTGGAATTGTTTTCAAGAGGGGGGAAAACCTTGAAATTTGAAGGACTTAAAAGTTATTAAAAGACACCTCAGAAGTCGGGAAAGCTCATTTCCCGCCATCTAGGAATCAAAATTTTCCCGGGGGAGGGGACCACCCTTTCTCTTTGGAGTTTATCGATTCATGAGAAAAAAAACATGTATGCAACTATTCTTTTTTTTATATATGTATACACACATAACAGGTATTTAAGTCATTAAGTCATTAAAAGACACCTAGCTCAAAATTGGGAAAGCTCATTTCCCGCCATCTAGGAACCTAAATTTTAACCCATTCATATTCCCATTCATCTTACTAGTGGGCCCCCCACTTTGAAAAACGTTCCGCCAGCCCTGACCTTTTTTGTTAGACTTCGGACCCAGTCTGCAAATTTCTGTACTGATCGATTTTTATGAGTGTAAATGTATCCTGATATTTATATAGAGAATAATATATGTTGTCTTGTGAGACTGTTCCCAACTCAGACAGGGTTGTATGATGCAGCCTGACGCGATTTGTTGTCACGTTGGATCTGTGTGCGTTACTGCCAATGCAGTAGGTCTGCGGTGAGGAACAGTCGCATTGTAAAATATTTTCACAACGTCCTGAAGACTCTCCCAGATGATAAATCGCATTGTTATACTCAATCATTTTTTAAACAATTATTTTATTTTTTTCTGTGTCCATAGGTCATTGTGTCCAGCCATATATGGACATGAAATGGTGAAGGCAGGGCTTCTACTTGGCTTATTTGGAGGAACACAAAAGTTTGTTAATGACAAGGTTTGAAATCTCAATTTATGTGCAAATCCAAAGATCCATGAATTCGTTTTTATAATTACTATTTTAAGGGATGGATATATTTCTTGTTTGTGTAGAGGTGAATCAATGGATGCCTGCATTAATAGATAAATTAATTAATGAAGGGGTGGTGGGTTGATTGCTAACAAACACCAGCAGCATTTAAAAGACAGTTAATTACCGTTACATAAAAATGCAGAAAGTTACTTAAGCCGGCCCTCACTGACAATTCATCTTTTTTTTTAGAATCGTATCCCAGTGAGAGGCAATTCACATATCCTTGTAGTCGGTGACCCTGGGCTCGGAAAAAGTCAGGTGAGATAGACAGGAGAGCTCCCCGACTGTAAATTTGTTTTTACTTTTGAGTAATCCAATGCTTGTATTTCAATCTTGTTTGTCGTTTCTCTGTGTTTATTAATAGAAAACAATTATAAGAAAGGGAAAGAAAAAAATAATTATATAATTCTTTGGTGTGATATGTTTATTGTATTTCAGATGCTGAAAGCAGTTGCAAATGTAGCTCCACGAGGCGTGTACGTATGTGGAAACACAACGTCCGCCACAGGCCTCACCGTCACCTTATCAAAAGAAAGTGGTACAGGAGATTATGCTTTGGAGGCTGGCGCCCTTGTACTTGCTGACCAAGGTAAAAGTCTTACCTTGCAGCTTAGACTCAGAATTTTAATTTTACAAATTTAGTTTATTTTTGATTTGTATATTATGTTAGGCTACACAACTAATTCTTATGAGTGCTTCACTTTATTACCCTAGTCATTGGTATTAAATAAGTTGGTGCATGAAGTAAATCAGCATATTAGCACTCATACCCCTTGGTGGATAGAAACAACATGAATTTTAATTTTCTTAACCAAAGACCACAATAAGTGGTTTGGATTGAAAAATGTTTTGTTTATTTTCTAGGCTGCTGTTGTATTGATGAGTTTGATAAGATGAGTAGTCAACATCAGGCTCTTCTTGAAGCCATGGTAAATAATCTGACTCTTGATATCTGATAAATAATATTAAGTCAATCTTGACATCATCACTACATCTCCCAATGTTATTTACCTATCCCCAACTGTGCACTCATTTTTCATTAGTGCAATGTTTGCTATGTTTTGTTTTTGTTTTTTTTAGGTTTTTGAAGTTTTATTAGGTTTTTTAGGCTTCTGAATAGGGAACTAGATTTTGGTGCTATACAAATATTGGGTTGGATTTTTGGATTGGATTAGGTTCATATGCAAATGGCCAATTCAACCGGCATATTGCAAAATGCAATGAATTCTAGCCTAGTGTTTTTACACCTAGAACTGCAACGCATGTCTGCGTAAAATGAGAGGGTAAACACCTGTCTGCACCGACACCGACATTATTCATCGTACTGCTGTGTAAACGTACGTACCATTTCAACTGCACTGCTGTGCTAATGCATACTGCATGCACAGCTAAATGTGTACGTGCATAGATATACTGGTTATATCACTGTAGCATTTTTTTCTTGCATTATTCTAACCTTTGTATAATAATTTCTACATAGTGTATGATACGCTACTATTCTAACAGAACTTTATCATTTCAACCTGTGAACACCGCAGTCGTAAAAGGTCATACCATTAAGTGAAGAGTATTAAAATATTTACTTAAGGATATGTATGTATCAGATTCATTAATATAATAAATAATATATGTATATAATTATAAATATTACGATCTTTTAAATATAACAATACCAATTTGTGTTTTTGGAACAAATGTAATATATTTGATCTTGTTTTTAGGAGCAACAAAGCATTAGTTTGGCTAAAGCAGGAATAGTATGCAATCTACCAGCTAGGGCTGCTATTCTAGCAGCTGCAAACCCGGTCGGAGGTCACTATAACAAAGCCAAAACAGTCTCGGAAAATCTCAAGTAAGAAATATAGAATCAATTAATGAATTTCATACTCTAAAATGTTGGGCAACAAATTTAACAAGTTTTGTGTTAAACATCTGATTATTTCAATCTGCGAAGTTGTCTGGGATGAAATCTGAAAACAACCCTAAAATTTCAATTATAAATAGAATTTGATACTTATCTACTGACTTAGATCGAAACATTTTATGATAATTCCTTAATTTATAGTTTTGTATTTCTATTTTTATCCATCGATTATTTTTAAACAAACACTTACGGCCATTGGCTGCTGTTTTGTATATGTTTAATACAGGAATAAAATTTTTTTTTACAATAAATACAATACAGAAATTTGTATTGTATATTAATAGTCAATTTGAGGGTATAGGATCAGTACTATGCCTCGGTTAATTTGGTGAGGATTTTCTTATTGTTATATTGTTACATATGAAAGCCTTCTTTAAGTATGAAAAAAAAAGTCAAATTAAATATTAAATTTATTAATTTTCTTAGATTAAGACAGACACTATGGAAGTTTTATATTAATGTTTTTTCCCTATATTTAGGATGGGTAGTGCTTTGTTGTCACGTTTTGACCTAGTTTTCATCCTAGTGGACAAACCAGATGAGCAAATGGACAGTATGTTGTCTGAACATGTGATGGCAATGCATGCTGGGAGAAAAAGGTTTGTTATGCCAGAAATGAGAACCTTTTTTTTTTTAAATTTTTCTGCAATATTTTATCTTGATTTAAATAACAATAAGTTCTGGTTCTGATTTTATTCAAGCCTAATAACTAGTGAGAAAAAAAGTTGATTAAATATGTACAATAAAAATGTTAAATATCTTTAAATTTTATGTCAATAAATCAATCAATCAAATGGTAGGTCCCGTATATCTATATCCAAATTTTTCCATGCCTAAAAGTATTTCAATTTGATATTAGGATTATTTTTCATTCGTTCTTCTGTCAGGTTTTCTGATGGGGAGTGGAAAACACAACAAAGAACTGTTAACAATAACGACGATGAAGCTAAGAGGTTGTATGAAGCTGAGCGTCTCCTTTCGGAAAGACTTAAATACATGAGAGGGGAAACACTAGATCCGATTCCTGTGTTCTTACTTCGAAAGTATATTGCATACGCAAGGAAATATGTGCATCCAAAGCTGTCACAAGATGCTGCCACCGTGCTCCAGGTCAGTGGAGGGTCGGGGTGGGGGGGAAATTGTCTGACTGTTGTCGAACACTACTTGGGGGTCGTCAGCAGTGGTGCCGAGGAGCCGGGCCATTGCCCCGGGGCCCGGGCCTGGCAGGGGCCCTTAATATCTACAGTAGTTAAAAATAATAAAATAAATAAATAAAAATTATTAAACGTATATATTCATCCAGTATCATTCATGTGTTTTTCCCACGAGAGTTGTGAATAAAGCTGACCGCTCATGATTAATCCCTTCTAATTCTTTTTCATGAATATTTTCATGACTTCTACTACTCTAGAGTTTATGTTGAAAGTGTATCAAATAGTAAATTCTTTACGTTACTATTAATAATTATCAAAGGCTTCAACCTTGGACATCTTCAATATACATACAGGTTAGAAAGTACGAATAGATCTGATAGAGATTCGGTTGTCAAATAAATACTGAATTAATATAGAAAACCTGTGGCGGATTTACAATATGGGGAATCCTGGCCCCCACCCCCTAAATTTGTCTAAATTTAACAAAAATTGAAAAGAAAAGAAATTCTACTCAAACTTTTGAGTCTGTAAATTAGCTAAAACCCAATCATTTAATTTATTATAAAAATCAGCAGTGATGTTGGTAGATTCTTACCTGGAAGAACCAAGTGGATTAAAACCTTGGCACTGATATTTATTCAATATGTTGAATGAGCAATTCCATTCATTTCATTTCATTTTGGAGAGTTTTTTTTAGATTTTACCCCAATACACTATATTTATGCTGATCAGTTTATTATAATGTTCAGTAAAAAGATTGAAAATATGGAAAATGAAAAAAAAGAAGGAAAATATCAAAGTATGCAGTTTCAATGGGGAAATTGTTTACATTTTCAGAATTTCTACCTTGAGTTACGAAAACAACATAATGGCATTGATAGCATACCAATAACAACCCGGCAGCTTGAGTCCTTGGTGAGGCTGGCTGAGGCTAGAGCCAGGCTTGAACTCCGGGAAAAGGTCACAGGTCAAGATGCTGCCGATGTTGTGGAAATGATGAAATATAGGTAAATCAGGGAACTGAGTATTTGTTTCATAGGTGTTTGACTGTGGAAATAATGCGAGACTCACTTGTTTGTAAGACAATGTAGAAAAATATATCATCATGTTTTTGTTATCTAAATGAAGATTTGTGTGATTTTTCTTCTTTATATCACTTTGTCTGATATTTTATATTAATATTTTAAACACTAAAGTATAAATATATTATTAATGCATTACTTTTGTACATTCGGTACAGCCCTGTGACGCTGCAAGTAGTATGAAAGGAGGTGCTAGGTTTTAATAAAATAACATAAAGTTGTTATTGAAAACGATTTCGGACTATCTGGCTCTTCTCAGTTCAGGTAATTTTTTACCTGAACTGAGAAGAGCCAGATGGGGCTCTATCGAATGTACAAAAGCAATGTATCGATCAAGGCGCTACGTTCTATACATGATAAAACATCAAATCTTAGAAATATTGTTAATGGTAATGGTATATGAATAATACACAGTTTCTATGTGCTGTGACTAGAATAGAGGGAAAATTAGTATGTTTACAAGCGATTAGAAGGATTAGAATCTTTTTAACATTCCCTTACCCAACATTCTAATATTCTCCATCCCTGTTTTAACAGCTACAGGCAGCCACTTTCATTATCAAAGTCAATAACTATGTTTTTTTCGGCCATTCCCCCTTTACAACACAGGGTTCCAAAAAAAACAACATGCATGCCACAAAGAAATAGCAGGTTTTTGCACTTTTTTTCCAACAGCATGATTGATACATTTTCTGATGAATTTGGATTCATGGATTTTGCTCGATCACAGCATGGATCAGGAATGAGTACCAAGTCACAGGTAAATCATTTATTTGTTACAGTTTTTTAATTTATAGAGAAAACATGTACAATACTGTATGGTTGTGTATTTATCATTTAGCAGGATTACACAAAAACTAAAAAGGAATGCAAAAAAGTATTCTGAAACTTACTCATCGAGCTTAAAAGAAAATGATGGCATCACCCATAAACACCCTGAGAGTAATATTTAGTATTCAGACACAGATTAGGAATTATTGCACTCTAGTTCCTTTTGTACTTTATTGAAAATTTCAATTCTGTTTAGGTGAGACTTTTTTTTTATCCTGGTTCACATACTTATTTTTTTAAAGATCATTGAAGGAGGGTGTAATAAAAATAAAATTTTGTTTTCTTTAATATTTAGCAAATAATTTTGCCAGAAACATCCAGATGGAGGAGAAGATAAAAATAATATTTTATTGGTGAATGTAAAATAGGATGGTTAAATGCTTCAAATTTATATAATTAGGAACAAATATACAATTTTTGTCTTTGGAGATTTCAAAGCAGCAGAGGGTGTAATAAAAATTTTTAAAACTTTTATTTTTTTCTGAAATTCTACTTTTTTGTGGTGGCGGGTGCGCTAATTGTCCAAAAATAAAATTTTAGTTTTATTCAAAATCATCAATATTTGCAGTCGGCTGGTTCGCTAAACAAGGTATAAGAAATGTCTCGCCTTACGAGGGTAAATAATCATAGTAGTATATGTTATAATATACTGTACTCATCTAATTCTGTTGTAGTTTTAAACCGATTTAAATGTATCTTGTCCTAGGCAAAGAAGTTTATTGCTGTGATGAACAAACTTGCCGAACGCACCTGTAACAATACATTCACTGTCCAACAGATGCGAACATTAGCAAAGGTAGGCCATATGGTATCGATTTAGAGAACTGTAGATTTACAAAGATTTGTACATTTCAGTCAGTGCAAATTCTAGATACATTTCAGTTGTTGAAGAGTATTTTTTAATTTAATATTTCCATTTATCTTGTTACAGGAAACAAATATCAATGTTCCTGACTTTGAGAACTTCATATCATCACTCAACAATCAGAATTTTTTACTAAAGAAGGGACCACGTCTGTACCAACTCCAAACCAGCAATTTTTAGAGTGGAGGATGAAATCGACATCAATCGTAATGGATACTGTTGCTAAGGCCCCGTAAAATGACATTATAAATGTATGTAAACTTTGAAGTTTTTTTGGAATATTGGATCCTTTTCCCATTCCGATAAAAGAGACGGACTGGTGATGGATAGTGAGGCATGAAAGTACTGTAGTATTTTTGTATTTTCCTGTTTTGCCGCTGGTGTTTATGCAAGATATAAAAGTATATAAATAAAGTGATGCAGGAAAAAGGCTATTCTTTGTTGGTGGAAAATGGTTCCGCAAGCAGCATGTGAAACTACTGTATATAGAAACTGTCCAATCGCTGATTTTTTCCACCTTCCATGTTACCAGAGTGTAGCAACAATCCTTTTATTATTTATTTCTCTGATTAAAGATATGGAATGCAATAACATGGAGGAATACAATATCTCAATCTCAACTGTTATTCAGATCAGTTGATTGATCATAGACTAATATCAACCAGCCTGCCCTAGATAGGTAGAGTAATAAACTAGTATTTTTTTTATGGGCCCTAAATTAAATAAAATCAAATGCTGACATTAAACTATAGCTTTACCCTATTCATACTCTCATACAATCCTAAAATTGATGCCAAATGCCATTGTTCTTCTTCTGATACCATGTCATTTGAAGTCTCTCCATAAAGTGATATATTGTAATTACATAAACAAAAACACAATTATAAAATATGTAAAATTACCAGTAATCATTAAATATAAATTTACGTACGCATAGACACAAAATTAAGTAATTTGTAATATATAATATAGCTTGTGTTATTGATCTCTGTTATTACACAATCTCAGCAGCAGTGAAGCTAAAATAAGATTGATAGAAGCATTTTAAATACAATTCAATTAAAATATTAAAACTATTTAAAAATATTAACAAATTTATACAATTTAAAAATACAAAGTTGCACTATATTTACAGTTGTACATCACAGAAATCCACACCTCAAAATTTAAAATACAATCATAAATATGAACATTGAAATATAAATAACAAAAATGTACACCAAAAGCCCTTACAATCCAAGCTCCAACCACAATGTGACTACCCAAGCCAGTCCTCTCCAATTCAATTCCACTATCCTGAGAAACGCCATGACACAGTACTTATACAACCTTTTTTAAATCATAAATACATTAGTTGAATAAATATCGCTTGATTTTTCACTCATAATGAAAGAGAATATGTATTGAATGACCTAAAGAGTGAATATACCAATCCACAAGAATAGTGTTGAATATTTCATCGTATCAACGACACATCAGCAACTGTGACAGGAATTAGGCAGGCCAGGTCTTATATACTGTGCTAATAAGCTAACAGGTGTTGGAAAGTATTGTGGGTTCAATTCCTGTCACAGCAGGACTTTTTCTCACGACCAAAACCAACCCCACTCCCTAAACCTCTGTATCAAAAAGAGTTTTACCAGCTAAATAACCAAGCTTAATACATGATAATAACATTATTATACATTTCTAACTACTACTGCTCTCGTTGGTATCATTGTTTGACATTACATTATTTCTATTACTGTTATTGTTATAAATATGAATAAAATAAAAGAACTTATAGACTAATACCAGTTCTAAATGTAAATAAGTTTCATAACATTTATTTAAACATAGATAGAATACTATCAGAGAACATGAAGATGGTAATCACTACTAATGACCACACTAGTAGAACACTCTCATAAAATATTATCAGGAATATTAAAGATAGTAATCTTTACTAATGTAACCACACTTCGAAAACACTCATCAATAACACCTGACTGTAATCACCCATACAGAGATTTTAAACAATTCAGTTACAAACAAAATTAAAAATAAAGAAGGTAATGAGGATCAGGAAAATCAGGGCATAATTCCTTTGTTAGAACACTTCATTCATAACCAATTTCAAACATGATATAAAATGATTCCAGAAAGCCAGTGAAAACTAATGTTGCTAAGATTATCCATACTTGTTTTAAACTCTGGTTATATCATTAAACAAGGCGAAATAAATGAAATTAAAAAAAATTGTAACATTCAGTAGAGGATTAAAAGAAAATTAATTTTAATTTAGATGTAATAACTCAATAATGGAAAATTGATATTGCCATGATTAATAATTATTGATTATTTATTCCTAAAATTCTTATACTAATTCCAATTTGACTTGTCTGTTACCACAATCTTTGATCATTTCATTCATAATAAAATGTGATAGATTGCAATTCCTCATGTTAAGATTACTCAGTGTAGGAGCAATAACCAATAAAGATGCTAATGATGAAGCATCAATGTTGCTGACATTATTATCACAGATATCAAGCTTCTTTAATTCTAACTTTACTCTTCTACTAGAACAATCTCTGATCATATCATTCATGATAGCACCTGATAGATTGCAATTTCGCATGTTAAGATTTTTCAGTGTAGGAGCAATGACCATTAAAGTTGCTAATGATGAACCATCAATTTTGTTGAAATTATTACCACTGATATTAAGCTCCACTAATTGTAAATTGACTCCTCTACTACAACACTCTCTCATCAAATAATTCATAATATCACCTGATAGATTGCAATTGCTCATTATAACATTACTCATTTTCGGAGCAATAACCAATAAAGATGTTAATAATGAAACATCAATGCTGTTGAGATTATTATCACTGATATGAAGCTCCTTCAATTTTAACCTAAATCCTCTACTACAACACTCTCTGATCATATTATTTATAATAGCACCTGAAAAACAGCAATTACTCATGTTAAGAATACTCATTTCCGGAGCAATAAACAATAAAGATGATAATAATGAACCATCAATGTTGCTGAGATTATTGTCACTGATATCAAGTTTAATTAATTTCAAACTGACTCCAAGACTACAACACTCTCTGATCATATCAGTCATAATAGCACCTGATAGACTGCAATTACTCATGTTAATATTACACATTTTATGAGCAATAACCAATAAAGACGTTAATAATGAACCATCAGTGCTGCTGAGATAATTATCACTGATACGAAGCTCCTTTAATTTTAACCTAAGTCCTCTACTACAACACTCTCTAATCATATTATTTATAATAGCACCTGAAAAACAGCAATTACTCATGTTAAGGTCACTAATTTCTGGAGCAATAACCAATAAAGATGATAATAATGAACCATCAATGCTGCTGAGATTATTATCACTGATATCAAGCTTAATTAGTTCTAAACTGACTCCTAGACTACAACACTCTCTGATCATATCAGTCATAATAGCACCTGATAGACTGCAATTACTCATGTTAATATTACTAATTTTATGAGCAATAATGAATAAAGATGTTAATAATGAACCATCTATGCTGCTTAGATAATTATCACTGATATGAAGCTCCTTTAATTTTAACCTAAATCCTCTACTACAACACACTCTGATCATATTATTTATAATAGCACCTGAAAAACAGCAATTACTGATGTTGAGGTTACTAATTTCTGGAGCAAAAACGAATAAAGATGATAATAATGAACCATCAATGCTGATGAGATTATTATCACTGATATGAAGCTCCTTTAATTTTAACCCGACTCCTCTACTACAACACTCCCTTATCATATTAATCATAATAGCACATGAAAGACGGCAATTACTCAAGTTAAGATTACTCATTCCCGGAGCAATAATTAATAAAGATGATAATAATGAACCATCAATGCTGCTGAGATTATTATCACTGATGTCAAGCTTAATTAATTCTAACCTGATTCCTAGATAACAACACTCTCTGATCATATCAGTCATAATAGCACCTGATAGACTGCAATTACTCATGTTAATACTACTCATCTTATAAGCAATAACCGATAAAGATGCTAATAATGAACCATTAATTCTGCTGAGGTAATTACTATTAATATCAAGCTCCACTAATTCTAAATCAACTCCCTTACTACAACACTCCCTGATCATATCATCCATAATAACACCTGATAGACTGCAATTACTCATGTTAAGATACTGCAAAGGAGTAATAACCAACAAAGATGCTAATAATGAACCATCAATGTTGCTGAGATTATTACCATTAATATCAACCTCCACTAATACTGAATTAAATCCTCTATTACAAAACTCTCTGATCATATCATTCATAATATCACCTGATATAATGCAATTACTCATGTCAAGACTACTCAGTGTAGGAGTAATAAATATGGATGAAAATGAGGAACCATCAATGTTGCTGAAATTATTACCACTGATACTAAGCTCAATTAATTGTAAATTGACTCCTGTACTACAACACTTTCTGATCATATCATTAATAATATCACCTGATAGACTGCAATTATTCATGTTAAGATGACTCACTTCCGGAGCAATATCCAATAAGGATGCTAATAATGAACCATCAATGCTGCTGAGATTATTACTATTTACATCAAGCTCCGTTAATTTTAACCTGACTCCACTACTAAAACACTCTTTGATCATATCATTCATAATAACACCTGATAGACTGCAATTAATCAATGCAAGCCTATTCCGTTCAAAAGTAATTAATAAAGCTGCTAATGAGGAGCCATCAATATTGATGGAAGTAGTACCACTGATATACAAGCCATGCAGATTATAGACTATATATGAACTGCCATTACTCATTAATAGCGATTCAAGTTTAGAAGTAATTCCCAATAAAGATGCAAACAAAGACCCATCAATGTTGTTGAGATTATTATTATTACTAATATCAAGAACCTCTAATTCTAACTGAACCCCTTCACTGCAACACTCTCTGATCATATCATTTATAATAACACCTGATAGACTGCAGTTACACATGTTAAGCTTACTCAGTGTAGGAGCGATGAATAAGGATGCAAATGATGAACCATCAATGTTGCTGAGATTATTATCACTGATATTAAGCTCCTTTAATTCCAACTTGAATTCTTGACAACAACACCCTCTGATCACATCATTCATAATAACACCTGATAGACTGCAATTACTCAAGTTAAGTTTAGTCAGTGTAGGAGCAATAAGTAATAAAGAGGATAATGATGAACCATCAATGTTGCTGAAATTATTTCCACTGATATTTAGCTCCTTTAATTCTTCTAACTTAACTACTTGTATAGAACAGTCTTTCATCACATCATTCATAATAGCACCTGTAACGCAATTTGAGAAGCACTGCAAATATTCAAGTTGTGGTGCATTACTAAGCAGATGAACCATATATGAAGCAGTACTTAAGTTACACAAGTCTAAGTATGTTATATCATATTTGAAATTCAGTTTCTGACATTCAGCTTTTAAGTATTTAATATCATCACGACCACATAGTCTATTTACTATTTTCAAAATATCACTTTGATCTGATACGGCAATCAGTATGTGGGCAATCATTTTACCTTTTTCTTCAGATGACATTTCTTTACAAAAAGATCCAATGTGAGTTATCACATCAATTCCACCAACAGATAATCTTATATTGTAAAATCGTTGCATAATGTGGATGAAACACTCGTTTGGATTTATCTCTACATAAGGAATAACTTGATGGATAAATTTTCTTAGTGATTTACATATCTCATTTATATGTGGCATTATTTTTAAGTTTTTTTCAGTCATATACTTTATTAATGCCTTTTCTACAGTAATCCTGTGCTCTATTTTTACAAATTTAAAATATGCCATTAAAGAGCGATATGTTGCGAGACTATTTGTTATCCAATGACTTAAAAACATGCAAGCATCAGGACCTAAAAATCCAATTGCAAACTCTTTTGCAATGTATAAGTGTTCACTTTCTATTATAATATTCCATTCACTATCATCCAACGGATGAAGTAACCTTTTCATGTCCTCTGAACATTGGCTCTGCAATCCTGCTACCTGACATAGTTTGTAAAGGTAAAACCCTACCAATGACTCTACTATTAACTTGTGAGGAGCTGTAAAAATCTCTTCAAAATCAGATTTTAGGTTTGGTGTATCTTTGTACACAAATCCCAGTTTTAAAGCTAAGGCAACAATCTCTTCTTTTCCTTCCAAATCTGCTTTGTTTATTGAAAGTTGGTTTCTTTTTAAGCCATTATACATACATTTCCCTAACAAAAGCATCGGTTCAACATACTTCTGTGGAATATTTTTAAATATTGAGATTTTTTGCTCTTTATCTGCGTGTCTGTCAATAAACTGATTCAAGATGGTTCTAAAAATCTCTTTAAAGAGGTCAGTTTTATCAGCTGGAAGGTGTTGCCTTTCTTCCCACATAATGCATACTGACAGAAGCAACATTGGATTCTTGCACATTAAATTGATGTCCGCATGTTTATATCCTAAAAAAAGCTCATCTACAAGTGAGTCTCCTAATGCAGGTTCTCCAAAAAAATGGAAATGTTTCTTAATGTAATTCTTTATATTACCTGCATTGAATCCCTTCACTTTCACATGTATGCTGCTCTCTTTAACAAAATTATCTATTTTCTTGTCAGATCTTGATGTTAGTATTACTTTGCATTTAGGCATATTTTGATTTTTGAAAAAGCTTATTGGACTCTTACTACCATCTTTCAGTTCATCTAATCCATCCAACAATAATACAATGTCATTATCATGATTCCAAATATATTGTTTTATTATAGGATCTTGACTAAGATTTGTTTTAAGACAAAAATCCTCAATGTCTATTTGTTTTAAAATACCATCTAAAACAGATTCACCTTTGCCAATAGAAGATATATTGACAAGAAAGACTATTTTACCTTTGAAGGTTTCATCTGATTCATCTGTGGCCCAGTTGTAAGCTATGTACCTGAGGAGGGTTGATTTACCAATACCACCCTCACCTTCAAGTAGAACTTTACATGCAGGTGTGGATTTGATAATCTTTAAAACCTCCTTTAAAGTTGTTGGCTTGACATCTTGCTTCTTTTTATTTTCCTTAAGTAGGTCCAGATCAGTGAACATATGGGCAATGTCTACTTGGTATCTCGTATTTAAAGTTGCTGGGGTGAACCGGGTGGCATTACGGCACAATTGCAGTTGAGTACTTAGTAGATAATTTTTAATAACATCATCTGAAAAAAATCAGTTATAGTAAAAAGGCATATACTGTAGCATCATATTATTTCAGGGTCTTGAGTATTAGCTTGCCTTCTGAAATAAACTGGGTCACCCTCTATAAATATGGTTGAAAAATATAATTCATTAACAATACTATTAATAATAACAAGTTTCCTATAGCACCATAGATACATACTGTATCTCGAGCACTTTCAACATTTCACAACAAAGGCGGCAACAGCAATAACAATAACAATAAAAATAATAATAATAATGTAATCATAATTTAATACCTTCACTTGGTCTTGTTGCATTGTCTGTAAAGAAAATTCAATAGATCACATTAAATATTGTGAACCAGTGAAATAAAAGATTGCAATGTTTGCCATGTATACATGGTCTAATGCTGTGTCTTGTTAGTAGCAAGTAATTAAAGCGCAGGGCAAGTTAAGTGCTTATTAATTCTTTTGCTGTTCAAAGAATTGATACCTAATTTCACAAACATTGTCATGATTTGGTTATATTTCCATTACACTAAATAAATATAATTACTGTTCAATGTTTTCAAGTTCAATTTGATCATACAAACTCGTGCAGCTCTAATAAAAATTGAAAATGATTCGTTGTCATCGTCATCATCACCATCATCAAAAAAATCTTGTCCAACAAAGTGGAAACCAAACAAAAACATCTCTACAGGATAGTACAATGCATAGGCTACTCTTGGTTGACAGGGAGCCTTAGTATATTATAGATTTTGGGGAGGATTGTATCTTGTCAATCCCTCAGTCTCATCAAGTGTTTGATAAACTTGATATGAGATTAAAATCTATAATTTATAGTAGTTCCAAAAAATGTTCTGCCCTTTACTACACTGGGATTACCCAAAAACCACTGTATAAATTTCAATTTATCCTACGGTCACAATTACTAAAATTTATGTATATAGAGTAAAAATTCATTCTTCTAATAACCATAAAGTCACACTTTTGTGACATCTTATTGTAGGACCTACATAATGTAATATTGCACAACCGTTTTGCCAAAGCTTTTTTCCATACTTTCCGTAAATTTAAAAAAAAAGAAGTAAATATGAGATTTTCAGGGGTCCGACAAGGGGTTCGAACCAAGGGGTTAACTAGAGCCTCAGTCAGTGTCTCAGAACAGAAATCCCTGGTATTCTTTACGGGAAGAGCTTTATGGCTTTAGTATAGCCAAAAGTGTACTATTACCTGTAGACCCAAATATTAGTGATTGGCAATCAAAATAACGTTATTTGGATAGGCAAATTACTATTTTTGGTCTGATGACCTTCTAAAAGCGTCGGACGACCTTCTAAAAGCGTCGGACAACGGGGGTCCAATCATGTCCCACAGCATTTCCCCTGCCCCCAGCTGGCACCACCACTTGGCTTGTCACAATTTGTTAAACTTTAGTATAATTAGCATTAGAATGTGACAATACTTTAGTACTAAGAAGCTGTAATATTTTTACTAATGGGCAAATAGTAAATGCCCCTTGAAGTTTATAATGTGGAAAATACATGGATTTACAGTAAAAATTAACTTTTTTCTTTGTCCATGGATCGTGAATTTTGGATGGTTGCCTCATATTAATAATTCTTGTTTTGTAACTGCTGTATCTTTATCTGCATAGCTACTGTAAATCATATGTCTCTTTATTATATAAAGTGGTAATGAAGACTGAAGTTTGTTAGGTTCATGTCAAGCACATATCAAATTCATACCGATGAAGTAATTACCTTGTGTAGCAGGTAATTGAATTGTATTATTAACTATGTTAATAACTGAGTCAGTAATATTGCAGTTAACAAACTGAGTTCCTATTGCAGTACCTAAACAAAGAAAAGAAAATTAAAGAAATGGTCAAAAATTAAAGAAAAATACATATATGAAAAGATTAATAATGGTCAAATACAGTACTGTACTTTAAGGTCAAAAACAGTAAGGTATAATATTGAAGAAAATAAACCTTTAAAAAGGATGATCTAAATGAAAAGTTTAAACTTGTCTTATATTTTTTATGGAAGTGGTTTGGCGCAGAGGGTTTAGTTTCCCAACTTTGAGGTCAGGGTTTCGACCCCTCGCTGTGCATTTCACTTATGTCCTTGGGCAAAGCACATTATTATTATTATTATTATTATTTTATTGACAAACAAAAAAGTGGTATGTGTATATGTGTCAACCAAAATACAATTATTACTAGTTATGGTTTGTGTATTGTAAGATTGAGTTATTGTAAAAATTTTAAATAAATAATTCCCCAATTGCCACGTCCGACATCACGGCTCTCATGTCATTTACGATTCCCTCACGCTCAACCCTAAAGCCAAGGGTGGATCTAGAGATGTCAGAAAGTGGGGCCGATTTAGATAATACTATCCTAGGGTGTCCGGGGCATTCCCCGCGAAATTTGTGTTCTAGACGCCCGAAATAACTTTGGAGGCATTTTGGGCGATCAATTTTTTCTTTTTCTTTTCTTTCTTTTTCCCGGGATCTGCCACCCTTCATAATGATAAGATCCTTGACCAGTTTTGAATAACCATCGAGCTTGGTCGTGTTAAGAATATTAACAAAAACACAGTGGCTGAAAGGGCCGTTCAGGACGTAGAAAAGGAGCTTTTTATCGTTGATCCCATGGGTGGGCCTGTCTTGCCATTGCTACCTCCATGTTAAATCTAGAATACATTCCAGAGGACTTTCTGGGAGGGAGGTTTGGTTCCAGCGAGACCAGTTTATAAATTATCAACTCAATTTTAATAGCATTAAACTCATACAACAGCATGACCAACGGGTGGTCAACCATAAACATAGTGAATGATCCAAATACCCTAACAAAAACCTTGTGGATACTTGTACCGAGAATAAGTTAAAGAAAGCTCGAGAAAAAAAGTTTAAACAATTTAAAATAAAAGGAGGCCATGCCAATATTGGTTAGACTGCTGCTGTTTAGCTTACTGTGGCCAATTTCTGCTGTGCATTAATTTGCATTGGCCTGTTTGCATATCACATCATGCTCTCACCCTGTGTTCGGCATGTTGCTACCTACCCCTGAAATTTCACCAACTTTTAAATGACAGTTTACAGGAAGAAATGTAGAGAAACTGGTGTAAAGTCATCAGTTGTGGTTCTCCCCACGACACACAATGGTTATATCAGACCTGCCAACTCACCTGATCCTGTCGGTTGTCACCCGATATTTAAACAAATCTCCAGTTCTCCCGATCGAATGTAATTTTCACCCGATTTCACAGGCCAACCCCCTCCCCAAAAATACTCCCAATTTATGCATAATTTGATCATTATTATTCAATGTATTCACCGCCTGCTCGCTTGGCGGTGCAATAAACAAGCAGCAATTTTCAATTCGAATTTCGCCACCAAACGGCCAATGATTTGTAGTGACGTGACTTTCTTCGTATCTTGCATCATCTTTTGGGTAATTCTGGAAGCCTCCAGATTTTTTGGTACATCTCCAGATTTTTTTATGATTCTTAAAAAAATCTCCAGATTTTCATGACCCAAGGGTTGGCAGGTCTGTTATATTTATGTATATGAATTTTGCTATTCTAATGACATTATTACCTGTAGATGTACTTGGGCCAGCTTCTGTGTCACAAGTCAGCGTTCCACCAGTGACTGTATAACCAGTCAACATTACCTCTCCTTCGATATCTGCTATAAATAGAAAACAATCTCTTTGATTTTAGTAGGCCCTACTTTGTAGTTTCCACATCTTTTTAACAAATTGTGGAAGCAAACATTTTTACTTACAGTTATATTTTTAACATATTCATGTACTTGACTTGTTGTATACACCTTTCTAGGATTTGTATTTGATTGTGAGAGGGTTTTATCCCTTACTCTAACGATTTCGCATAAATGGGAACACTGCACAATCAAACAAGATGATATGACAAGCATTACACTAAGTGGCATAAAAAAAAAACCTCAAGTTTGCGTGCTTTATTGCCACTTAGCCTAAGGGCACATGAAAAAAATTATTCGATTATCACTCTTTTTTAAAAAAAAATTAATGAGGGAGTGCTGTTTTTTTTTTTTTTTTATTCGGAACAATAGATTATTTTGCTTTTGTTTTTATCGATGAGGGAGGGACTGTTTATATTTGTGTGTAATAGTAAATATTGTATAAAAACTGGTTTAATTTTATAGTTTTTTAAAGAAAATGTACAGTATTTGAAGTCACAAAATTGCTTTGTTATTTTTATGCTGTTGAAAACCCTCCCAATCAATATTTCCCGAATTTTTGACGTGGGCAGGAGTGATAATCTAATAAATTTTTCTATTTGCCCTAATGCCTGTCATATCATTTCATTTGACACGTCGAAGCCTGTAGGTACACCTGGCAGGTTCCATTTATAAACATGGAATTGTGGGATTGTTGTTAGACTGCATAAATTTGAATAGCATCACTGTACAGCCAATGCCATATTTGCAATATGCAAATTGGTGAAGGTCTTCTAAAAACCGACCATAGAGTGGCTATAATAACACTAAACCAAATAGTGTTTACTGGATAGGAAAACCAATCACATTGTTTTGTTAGAAGTTTGAGTTTTTTGCAAGTTTAAAATATGATGTTTCGAAATGCTGAGAACCTGTATTTTTCTGTTCTTGCTCTGCTGGATAATGAGCTGACTTAGAAACTGATATATAAAATGATGCAATAGGCCTAGCTAAGTCTAACCATGGACCTAGGTCCATGGTCTAACCTATGAGGAAAAGAGGCCTAGCCTCTTAGTAGGCTTAAAGTTGAGAAAATTGACATAGGACTAGGGCCTATAGGGATTCCTTATTTTAACTTTCGTCAGCAAGCAATGTGGGACCGCGACTCACACACACACTCTGCGAATAGGTCTATATTGTGATTATTGGCACAATCTTCCTATTTTTATTCCCTAAATGATAAATAAAATTCAGAAATCATATGTATAATTTAAAAACAGACTATGCTGAACATGGCTGGATGTTGCAGATATATTATTTGGATTTTCATAATCTCAATAGTTTTATGAATTATTGAGCAAATAATATATACTGTCAAAAATAAGTATTACGGTGACCTTGGCACAGTGGGATTAGTTGACCGATAAGCAAGGAGCTGGCAGCGTATGGTTAAATAGGTTTGCTCAAACCTGAATGACCGAAGAAAGTCTGAAATTAGATTGTTTTAAAGCAATAAAGTTCACAATACAGTAATATGATAATATGCCAAATATTAAAATATATTATGAGATTTTATTGACAAGATTCAAATTAAATAATGATTACCTGTAGATATTCCTGAGGTAGTTTCTTGTATAGAATCCTTGTTACTTTTGCCAGTCCTCAGTCCTAGAGGATCATTATTTGAATCAATAATGAGATATGTTGTTAACTTTTTCAAAAAGTCATCCATGTTTTCTTCACAAATCTTGCCTCTATGCTCCAAGTCCACAATTAATCCCCATTTGTCGATGTTTTGTTCACAGCAGTAAAGTTTTGAGATCTTCTTGACATCATTGTCAGTGAGACTTTCTACAAACTTGATCAGACTTTGTCTGTTAGGTGCAAATTTTGATACTATGACTGCCCTGATATCAAAAAGTGTTGTCATTGACAACATTCCTATTTCTGGTTCCAAGCCAAATGGCTTAGTTACATTGATAGTATCGTAGAGTACCGTCAGATCGGCGGGACTTAAAAGTCCAGAGGTATGTAATAATTCAAACAATTCAATCACCTTGGTGGCAGCATATAGCTTATCAGGTTTAGTTACAAGATCTCTGTACAAAACTTTCAGCATATTGATGTATCCATGGCGATCATACCATCCTGACATGGATATTAATATCTCCCTGAAATCATCATCAGATATTCCTTAAAAAAAATAAGTTTCCATTTTTTTAATTGACAACATTTCAAGTTCTAGAGTTTAATTTGTGCAGGCAATAGCCAATTTAATTATTAATCAAAAGCATGTCTGTGACCTATCTATACTCTTTGCTCAATGAACACTACAGACGAATAAAGAAATGGTAAATTATTTTTTATTGCATGTTACTGTATATTGGGCAAAAAAAATCTCAATATCTAGTAAAAATCTTTTAATATTTCTATATGCATTTCCAATTTAGAGAAGGTTTTAAGCATTAAATTTAACAATTTTCTTCATCTTTTCTATGTACTTTTTAATGTGTCAGTCAGTGACCGTCAATTTGCCACCATAGTTAAGATTATATAATATTATTATTAAATACAAATAATATTCATTCCAAGTTTTTGTAAAAAGTTGTTTCATTAGTGTCCATCCTCTTTTTAAAGTGTAGTTTAGCAATATATACCCATAAATATTTCACTGAATTCTTACGATTTTCTTTTTTAGGCTTTTACAAATGCTTACTACTCTTAATGTACTCGTTTCCACTATTTGTACCAATGTACTCCGCGAAAATTATGATATTATGTATAAATTTAAATTCCTACAAACTAAAGAATTCTATTATACTATAATTGCCCATACCGTTGACAATCATTAGTGTAAAAGTTTTTAAAAATTACGTCTGTAACCTTGATATCTGTGAGTTTTTGTTTATCTGTAGTAAAACTGTCAAATCATAAATGAACATGAACCACGACACAAAGGACTGTTTTCACAACCGGTTTAGTGTATGTTATGCCATGAACATGGGCATAAAGCGTATTTATGTGGCACTCACAACAACCGCTCAAAATAGAAAAACGCCAGTAATGTAGATCAATAGAACTATCAAATAAACTACAACATTCTACTAAACTATGAAAAAACAGAAAAGGACACCAATGACATCAACGCCTATGGAGAAGCAAAAAGAAAATGATAACTCTGATATTAAGAATCGTCACCGTAGAGAAGGAATAAACAAAAGGAGATTTAAATAAAGTCAGCTAATATAAAACTAACTTAATTGTACTGTATGTTTTAATAATGTTAGTGTACGAAATTGAAAAATGTATACATAGTATTAAGAAAATAGATGTCCTCGGAATTACAGAAACACATTTAAAAGATATAATGTCTAAAGGCTACACATGGGTGGGAAGTTCGTAAAGGAAAGGAGGGTGCCGTAGAGGGGTTGGAATTTTTGGTATTTAAAAAAGTTAGGATTATCTGTAATAATTATTTAAATTGTATAGAGGATGACTTTGAACGATTATGGATCAAAATTAGTGTAGGGTGGAATACACTGATATGTGGCCTATTTTCCTGTTCAAAAGGAACACTGAACTAATCAATGAATTATATGCTCAATTATTGTCTGAAATAATTGTGATAAAAGATGAAGAAGTTGACCGTTTAAGGGGACTTCAATGCATGAATTAGTAGAAAGATATCTAATGAGGACCAAATTTTAAATTCGAACAGTGAAAAATTTATCAATTTCACGGAAAACACAAATTTGAATATTTTATTTTCAACTGTACTAATCTGTTAGGGCAAGATAACCTGGCAGCGAAATAAACAACAAAGCACCCTAGATTATAATTTATGCAGGGGCGGATCCAGAGATGTCTAAAAGTGAGGGGTGGCCGAAAGTGGGGCTGATCGAGATAATACTACTATAGGGGGTCCGGGGACATTCCCCCGCGAATTTTTTTTTTTTCTTTTTTACCTTCATATATCCGCCCCTGATATGTTGCTCTAAGCACCAGCTAACCATGTGAATAAATTAATTGTTGATGAGGATAGACAATTTAGCTTTGGTAGTGACCATTATGTGTTATGGCTAACATTGAATGATCTTAAGTTATATATATAATCCCTTAAACCAACCCAGGACTATTCATCATATCATCAGAAAAAATGAAAATAAATTTGATATTTGTTTTTGATAATATAGATTCTATTTGGAACTCAAAGTGATTGAGGCAGCCACATAAGTAATTGGCCTTAAAAATAAACATAAACCATGGTTTGATGAGAAAATTATGAAAGAAAGAAAAAATGTTTCACGTGAACATTGCAATTGGATTAAATGGTAGCAATGATAATGTTCATGATAATAACAATTTCAATATTTATAATTTTAATGATTTACATAATAATAACAGTAAAAGTTATAAACAAAGATAATAATGAAAATGACCATGGTGCGATTTTGTGTGAAATCTATCAAGAAAAACATAAGAATGGTAAAATGCTAGGATCTCAGAAGATTACACAAAAACTTGTACAAAAATCAATTGAATTACCAAGCAAGCAAGGGGCAAATTTCTGGAGAGTTTTGAAAGGTAATAAAAATAATAAGGGAGATATACTTTGTATTAGAAAGCCTGTCATGGGTCCAATAAAGTTATTACAGATATAAAACCTATTGAATAAATCTGTGAAAGACTATTGGGAAAATCTTGTTAGATCTAACATGAATCTTGCCGCTTGTTCGTTTATTTAATGATATTAGAGAACAATCGAAAAGATGATAATTATAGCGTTTTGTGTGATTAGAGATTGATTATGATATCATTAAAGAATCTATTTCAATTTCAATGAATAATAAAGCCCTGGCCTCGGTAGTATAACAAATTAATTGATCAAAACTGGTAGTGATTAGATTAGTTAGAATTGTTTTAACAGGTTTTAAAGCTATAACAGATTCCAAGCTATTGGAATAAATAGTGTTATTTTCCCAATCTATAAAAAAGGATACAGTTTTGTAACGATTTAAATATCAAACCAGTTTTTTCTTCATCTAAAATTAGAAATATGTTTTATGTGAAAGATCCTGTCCCGAATGATCTACGTTCGAACGTTGTATATAAATTCACGTGCGCAGGCTGCGTTTAACAAACACATGACCACAGACAGGAACTCGCACATCTTTTAAACATTTTAAAAGTTCATCTCAATGTAAAGCCTCAATTGTAGTTAGTACAGTAATATTGTTTAGTTTTAAGTATTTTATAGTGTTTTTTCTCTTTTCCTTTATTTCTTTCATTTCATTTTTTTTGTCATCAAAGACATAAGCATAACAAGAACATGAAAAATTAAAATTCAATTGCACTGAAAATGGGGTCAGTCCGCTATGGCTGACTAGAAATTACAACTTTTATTTTCTAAATAATTTAATATTTTCTTATTTAGGAGACATAATGTCAAAAATGTAAACATAAACCCTTCAGAATTGTATGTATGACCACGCACACATACGCATATTACTATCATATGCACATACATACACCTTTAATAAATTTTATTATTTTTTTAAATTATATTTTTATTTATTTATTTATTTCTATATATATAATGTACATATATTATACATATATTATACATATATATACATATACACAAATACATACATATAAGTATTTTTTAGTGTTAAGTTTCTTTACCTGTTCACTGATGAAGGTACCCACTTTAGTATATGTATATTTTTGGTTTTGTTAAACTTCGGTAAGCTTCATAAGGACGCACCTTTGTTCTTTGAAAGTGTGCGCCTGTTTGAAAAATGTATGTCCAAATAAATAGATGAAACTAATAAAGACTAAAAACATTTTAATAAAATTCCTGATAATACTACTTCCAAAAGACCTAATTTCTGTTACAAAAATGTATTATTGGAGCCAGCAACAAAATATTTCATGCCATATCAAGCAGAAGGTTTGAGACCCTTAATGTACAGAAGTCATTCACAGCAAAATTTTCAGTTCTCCTCTAGACTGGGTTTGTCATCATGTAAAATTGCCTCAAAATATTAGGTCGGGGGAGTACAACAAAGCACATTCTGAAATTCTGACATTTAAACTTTACTTCATTACATTTTATGAGTGTGTATCCGAAAAATTCAGGGCACTAACAATCAAACCATAGTGGTTTATGTGAAACAGTGATGAACTTTTGAACTTTTATAATTTTCATTTTAATTATTTTTTGTTTAAGTTTAACTCACCTTTTGATGTGTCTCCTTCCATGATGACTCGGTTAAACAATATCAACCTATAAGAGTAGTAAACAAATGTAAAATAGAAATTAAGAAATACATTAAACAATTTATGAATATTTAGGCCTTAAAACTACTGACTATAATACACTTTTGAGTGGAGTTGATTAGCTTTAGTGGTGAAGAAGCGTACGTGTCTTCCAATCCCAGGGTCATTGGTTCAATTCCTGTCACGGTACAGGATTTTTCTTTTCTCACAACTAAAAACAACTACAATCCATAAGCCTCATAAAGAGACGTAGTCTATGTAGGACATAATTGTATGTCTGTCTTGTGAAGGGACAGCAAAGATCTTATAAACACAAGATAGCGTTCTCCGCGATTTACGCGTGCAAATTCTGTAATAAGGCATGAATGGCGCCCTCTTGCTAAATTGGAAACTTTTGACCCTTGACCGCTCGACTTTACCATTTCCGTACGAAACATTTACATGAAACTCCACTCGGGCCGTCTCGGCTGAATCGACCCGAAAATCTCATTGCAGAATTCACTCTTTGGTATAATAGCGCATGAATGGCGCCCTCTTGCTAAATTGGAAACTTTTGAACCTTGACCGACGCTTCTATTTGTTACGCGTAAATCGCGGAGAACGCTATCTTGTGTTTATAAGATCTTTGAGGGACAGCTACTTACTTGTTCGCTGTTTATTATATCTTTGGCTTTGGGGCTAAAGCTAAATAAGAAATAAATTTAAAAAAAGAACCGATCAATTTTTGAAGAGTAAACATGTAGAATAGTATTAAAAAATTTTTGTTAATAAGATACCGTACGACGTCATATGCGCTATATAAGAATGAACTATTATTATTATTATTATTATTAATGCAGGCGCCATAGAATAGAATCATTGAACCGCACAAGTTTTCCAAGATTAGGCCATGTGACTTTCATTGCTAAATCAGTGTATTCTATTCAGCTTATTGCTATATGAGTCATGAGTCAAGTATGAAATAAAAGACAGAACATCGAATATTACTATTTATTGGAAATGGGCAATGTCATAGTTCTGAGTGATATTTTTTTTTTGTAATGTTCCAAATTGTTCAAACCCCATTAAGTTTGATATCAAGCTAAATATTATCTTATAGTATTAGGATCTAAAACTAATATCTTGTTATTTCAATGATGTGAAAACATTTATCCAAATACATACTATATTTTAAATAACTAGGCCTAAGTTAAACCTGGTTAAATTAAATTATTAGAAAGAATTTATTTGTTTGAAAATTCTAAATTATTATCATTTTACAAAAAAAAAAAGTACCATAGGTTCTACTATCATTTTTAAAGGTAAAAATCATGAATTTTTACATAAAAATTAATAGTTTTGCTTTTCAAAAATGTGGTTAATATATGTGATTTCGCTACCAAAAAGTGATTTTCTTTTTTATTTCTCCAAAAGTATTGGTTTTTAACAAATGAAAGTACAGATGCTAATATACTGATACATGTATCAGAAAACAAGGGAATTAAATACAATTTTTGTTATTATTATTAGAAAGAAAGGTTTTAAAAACGTAATTCCGCTACCAAATTTAGTAGCAGAATGACATGTAGGCCTACTTCCGCTACCAATACTACTCATCGATAGCCACAAAACTCACTTTTTCTTCAAGTATCAAATGAAATACAAACTTCCCAGGTTATGTATAACGAATGCAAATAAACAGCAGTTAAATAATTTGCATCGATTATGTTGTTGAATCGCAAGTTTGTTTATGGGGAAGGAGGAGGCCTACCGTACTTTCTCGTAAACTGAGCAAACATTCTCTGCTTTAGAGTTTTATCTCAAAGATGTACGGTACCTGTTAATCAAAGATTGTTTTTAGTAAACTAATTAACTAAATTTATTTATAAACAACTTATTTTAATTTGTATGGTTAGTATTTACTCCGCCTATTAAATGAAAATGCCTACTATTAGCTCACAAACTAGTGACCAGTGTAGTCTATTTTATAAGGGTCTGAAATTGCATCACTACTTTTTAATTTTTTATGATCGAGAACGCATAATAATAAAAGCAAATGCCAATAGCTGTTAATTTACATGTTGCTTTAAAAAAAATTTACAGTTTAGTATGATATAAAGAAATTGCTTAAAATTCTATGTCACTCAGCTACTGTCATTCCGCTGCCAATTTTTATTTCCCTCTTATAACTTTGCATCTGTTCACCAGCACTTACTTTTAATCATTTTTAGATGTTTATATTTATATGAATATGAATTAATTATGTTTATATTTATATGAATATGAATTAAACTAAAATGAATGCCACTAAAGTTATATTCATAAATTATAGTACAGTACAGTATATATATTTTCATAACATGAATATTTATACAAACCTATATTACTCATGGGCGGATCCAAGAAAGAGAAGGTGAGTGTGAATGTGCGAACTGAGTGAGAGTCTAGGGGTGCAAGGTGCTAATTTCCCTTGAACCTCTAGCACAGTTATTAAATAGATGTTGTATTTGATTGATTTTTACTATTTAACTTGGTAATTTTCTGATATACTTCACAATTTTTTAAAACAAAATAATACCACTGGTGCCCCCTACTAACTCTAAATCCGCCACTGTATACTCAGGATACTCAGGATACTATACCACTGAAGTATATATGAGTTCGATATGAAGTTTATTCAATATTTACCTGTCATTTTGGCTATTTTAAGGGGGAATTTTTACCGGAGCCATTTTTACATCAAGTTAGTGAACCGAAGAATAGTATTAGAATTACACACCGACTTTTGTGCCGTCAAGTTCCTTCTCTTCGTTCTGTTCACTGCAGTGATTCTTTATTTACATAGTAGACATTTGTGTAATTTCCTGTATTACCTAAAATCCTTAAGAAATAAACTCACCCTTTCCATTGAATATATGTCCGTAGGCTGCCATCCGGTTTTATCCGACGTTTAGGCCTATCTAACGTTTCGAATATACTGAATTGAACTTTGATACTTAACGATACCATCCGGTCTGATGAAGCAATATTTACTTATCATGATGTAATATGTTATTATTAGCACATTACATCATACCTGACCTGTATAGAAAAGTTGGGATGACACACACACACACACACACACAGGTTAGCAAAATGTAAATATACCACAGTTTGAGTTCGATATGAAGTTTATTCAATATCTACCTGTCATTTGAGTCTATTTCAAGGGGGGCATTTTTACCGGGGCCATTTGTACTGGAGCCATTTTTACTGGAGCAATTTTTACATGGTAATACAAGTTAGTGAACCGAAGAACAATATTAGAATTACACACCGACTTTTGTGCCGCCAAGTTCCTTCTCTTTGTTCTGTTCACTGTGATTCTTTCTTTACATAGTAGGCCTATCCTTTAATTTACATAATAAAACGTTGGCGTACCAGATGACGCAAAAAACGATTTGTATTTAAAAAAAAAAGTCTAGATTTTAAGCGTAGGCATCAGTTGTATTGTAATTAATTCCATTGGTAAAGCGACCCACTAAAGCTGACTAACGACTGCTAAACTGATGACCCATAAAATCTTTCAAATTGACCTATCTTAGCGAAAAGAGTTTCTCGATAACGATTGATTTCAACTCACCAGAGATATATTTGGCCCGGGAGATTAACTCTAAAAATAATTTGCCCCTTCAAACAAATTATTTAAGAACCATGGGTATATTGTAAAAGAAACATGCAATTTTAAGAGTACATTACAGGTCTCAGGACCCAACCTTTTCAAGCTGGGGGTCAGTTCCAATTTATTGAGACCAGTGGCGAGCTGACATAAATTGTGTACAGTACTTCCATTTTCTTTTATAGCTGGCGAATTCGAAATAAAAGGGCAAGGGACAACTTTCACAGATAGGGTAAAATACCACCTCATCCCCACCATGGTTGGGGCTGGGGCAAGAAAATGTATGACTATGGCACTTCTAGATGGTCTGAAATGGCACTCTAAGGCTTAAATTTGAACTTATTTTCTTTTCTTCTCTTTTCTTTCTTGTAGAACTTTGAAAAAAAAAAAAAAAAAACAAAAACAAAAAAAACAAAACACTGCAATCCGACTTCTCCTACCCTGGCACTAGAAATTTTCGTACCACAAAAATATTCACTCAACAGTGGTTGGGGTTGAGGTGAGCACATTTTTAACATAGATACCACTACATTCTGGAAATTGCACTTTCAGGCTAAAAAATAAGTTTTAAAAGCATTGTTTTTAACGGACCAACATGCCTCGAGCCTGCTTGTGGCGCAAATGGTTAGACATCCCATCATATCAGTGCCCCACTCAATCCATTGTCCCCATTAGTCTACCCCTCCCTATGTCAATATCCTACGCCACTAGATACAGTGAGTT